TTTGGTTCACCTAAGAGAACAATATAAGAAGATTACCGTTTAAGAGAACAGCTTTGAGAGAGAGAGAGAACAAGTGGGCGGGGCATTTTGAGCCTAGCGTGTGAATTTATACAGTCCTCTGCAAAAGTCATAGACCTGTTTGATCTCAGTCACAGCAGACATGAAGTACAAGTTGCTCATATAAACACATGTTTAAGGTAATTTCCACAGAAGCCTCAACGAGCTTCCAGCTTCCGTTTATTTCAGGAGACTCACTTTCAGTTCCTCAAAGAATCTGCAGACACACCTCCAAAGTTCAGTCTCAGAAGCTGGTTGATCATTTTCTGAAGTAATCAAACACATTCAGTGGTGTTGAGGTCTGGACTCTGGGGTGGTCAGTCCATTGTTCAGCTTCTTTGTTTGATGTGTCCGTCTCCTTTTCTCAGTGAGGTTCTTCTTGACAGCTACACATCTTTTCAGACCCATAACCTTTGATTTTCTCCTCTCTCTCAAAGATGAAAGCTTTAAGCGCTGTTTATCTGATGGGGGCAGTTTTGGTGGTCTGCCAGGTCTTCCAGGTGGTTGTTAGGAGGCCTATTTTCTCTGTAGCTTTTAAACATTTTTCTCCCATTTTGGAAACTTCCCTATGCAAGTGGGTTATCTTGAGTCTAATCTCCTAAGAAATATCTCCTGAAAAAGTAATCACTTGTACTACTTGGGTGTTTTGATTAGAAATTAAACAACCGAAGGTTGGGCACCAAACCAAGCTCAGGCTTTCTGGGAAACATCACTTCTGTATCTGTTAACAATCAGATGTTCGTTTCTTTCCATCTTAGCTTAAAACAAACAGAACAGCATCAACAGCACTATTATTGTTCACTGCAGTGCCAAAAAAGTTGCTTCTGTAAAGCAGCGTTAGGTATGAGAAAGGTGCTATATACATATATTTATATATACATATAATGTATATACATATACATATATATATTTTTATATATATATATATATATATATATATATATATATATATATATATATATTTAGCCTACTATTAGGACTAGTCATTAAACTCCGTAAACTGCTGATTATGAATTAGATTAGGCTTCTGTATGAGTTTAGTACCAGAACACCTCCCTAGAACCATAACATACTACTGTTATTAACAGTGATAATAACAGTAAGCTATACATAGCATCATACACTAAACATTACACATGCAAATGAGCTTGCAGCAAATGATATGTATGACTGATTGCTCATCTATCTATCTATCTATCTATCTATCTATCTATCTATCTATCTATCTATATCTTTATATTGTTAATCTGAATTGTTGCTAACAGCAGGCCTGAGTCAGGGACTACAGGTGGAAAGTAGCCAATAAGCTAATAGTGGCAGATAGATAGTTAGATAGATAGATAGATAGATAGATAGATAGATAGATAGATGAGCAATCAGTCATAAATAAGATAGATAAAGAAGATGGTTCCTCAAGTGCTCTTTAGTACAATGAACGGTTCTATATAGAGCCATTGCATGCTTAAAGGGTTCTTTGCATGACGTGGTTCTTCAGACTGATGGAAATTGAGTTATATATGGTTCTACATAAAACCCATGAAACTCATGAAGTGGTTCCATATAGAACTTGTGGTCGCCTTTACTAAAGAACCCTTGAAGAACCATCTTTTGTAAGAGCGTAGCGTCTCTCGTAAGTGAGACTCGTGTCTCTGAGATGTCATCCTTGGTGGGCAGGTCATTCCTTTAAGCGCTAAGAGTCTTTTTATTTTGGTTGCCGTCGTCACCCATGGTAAGCGGGTGATTCAGGATTACAAAGGGATTTCAAGCAGGTGGTCAGGAGGCTCGGGCAGAGGTGAGCGAAACTGACCGCATTTTCCACTCTCTGGACCCAAATATGCGCTCCCGATCAGCACCGAAACGAGCCTGTAAATGACGCTCCAGAAAGGCGAATAAAAGCAGGTGGTTTGTTGGCTGCGGTGGGACGGGGTCGTGCTGTTTTGACTCCAGGTGACACCTGGCTATACTTAGCTTTGCTAACAGGATCTAACGCGCTTATTGGATTAGCCCAGAGCTGAAGCTAAAAGAGCAGCAAAAGGCACATGTGCTGCCTGCACCAGCTCCACTCATCTCCATCTCCACACACAAACCTCTCTCAGCTTCTCTGACTTCATCTCTATCTCTTCATAAGTCTCTCGCTTTTACTCATTCAGTTCAGTTCAATTCAGTTCAAAGCAGTAAGCTCTGTTTTTTAAGGACAATATTTAGTTACAGTATTGAGAAATTATCACTGAGGTAATAAGAACTAATATTTCTAGGCATTTCTAGGGTGATGATTCATGTATACAAATCTTGTTAAGTCTTAATTAAGGCTTATTCTTGGACTGAGAAAGTGGCATATAGAGAATTAAGACATCTGAAGTTTCAGTTTAGAAGTAAAGGAATTGTCGCTGTTAGACCAAAACCATTTAGCTCCAAAATATAAACTTAATAGGAGTAAAAAAATATTATTAAATATTATTATTATTAAGTAACAATGGATGATAATGTGGTAAGTAATGCTCTGAGCAAATTTGGTCCATTTCTATTCATGCATTTCTCTTGAAATTTTGACAGAATGTAAAGATCAGCTTTTCAAATGATGTAAAACAATAAAAATCAAAATGCAAGGTTTTCTTCTGAAGCTAAAGACCTTGATTTTACAAATCTTGACTTCTTATTAGTATTCGCTCTTCTCAGTACAGATCAGTATTTACAGCTACAATTCTACAGATTAAAAAAAGACAACTTATAACGAAGATGCTGTACTGACATTTGTATAATTTGTATATGACAGCTAAATTAATGAGAGTACTTCAAATCACCAGATGAAATGTGACAAATCAAAGATAAACTGAGCTTAGAGATTGGAAAACTAATAGAGATTCACCAATAATTAATGAATTCAACAAATTATTGATCTCCATGAAGGATGCTAACAATTGATTTTAATACTTTAATACTTTAGAAGCTTGAATCTTAAAAGTACTGCTTGCTGGAATCATATTCTCAGATCTCCAAGTTTAACGAAGCTGGCTTGGTAAAAGCGAATGTGGGTTTAGATATATAACTACTGAGGAATCTTTTGTGGGTATTAAGCCCTATGCTTGTCTATAAGCCTGCTACGCCTAGCGCGGTGGGGCTAGCTCGAGTCACCTGAGCTCCATAAGAAGGACACACCACGTCGGAAAGCAACAAATCCGACTCCAGCTGTGTGACAGATAAAGGAGCAGGTTGGACAGATCAAGAATCAAACTAAAAAACAAACTTCAGAGCCTCTTAAGAACCTCTCTGTCAATAGAAGTGTGAGCTTTCTGGAACATAGTTGTTTTTTTTTTAAGACAAACAGTTAAACACTTGGAATGAATGCTAATAAGTTGTTTAAACTAGCTTTCAAATAAAGGTAGATAATTAAATTCATGACATTTTCTTAGTGTGCAATCTCATCCTTATGTTTTAACCTCTTATTTAGGCCTGTTTCCAATCATTAGCTATGTAACTACCAGCCTACCATCATACAGGTCCCTACATATAATAAAAAAGAATATTTTTGCTTTTTGATCAAGCTCTATGAGTAAAAGAGGCAAAGTCATTGCACATTCTAACTATACCTTTGAAACAATGACAAAATGTTAATTATATGCTGAGAATGTCACTCCACAATACACAATCTCGCATTCTGTTTGTGATTATGTGATTAGGCCACAATGGGGACAAAGAGTCCTCTGTATTTTGACAAATGTATTCATTTGAGTTGAATTCAATTGTGTCGAAATACAGGGGCTTGATTAACTTTGAGTTTTTCCAATAGGCTGCTCATTGGTCTTTTCCAGAATAAACATTTGATATGCAATCTAGTGCTAATGCTACCCTCTAATACAAGCATTTCAAAACCACTTGATAAACAAAAGGAAAAGAAAGGATCCCACCAAGAGTTGAGACAGTTTGAGTAGAAGGACAGAAGGAAGTTTCACCTTGAGACACGCTAAGACACAATGAAGATGCTAGGAAACAATGAATTGTGGGATTCTGACCATTGAGCTCTCACTCAAAACTTGAGTGATATAGACTTCACATCAGATCTACATATAAACATTTAGGCTTTTGGTGAAGTAATAACTTGAATTTAGGACTCAGCAAATATGGATGGCCTGGAACATTAGTTCCTTGCCCTGGTCCTATAGAACCACTGCCCAGCACATGTTAGTGTTTTCCAGCCGTAAGACACCCACAACAACTCTGAAAGGGCTTGAGTCAGGTGAGTCAGAAAACTTTAAAATGTGCAGTGCAGGGGTACCTCAGGACCTAGGTAGGAAACCATGGTGTAGAAGTCTAACCTTTTCTTGCTTTATTCTATGAAAGGTTATCTCTCCTCTTCTCCAAGCCCAACAGGTGTTTAGGCCTTCCTCAACTGTTCCAGGTGACGCATGTGCCAAAGCCTAATCCAGCGGGGCCGGGTGATAAAACAGGTGACCATCTCTTGCCCGTCTGTGATTTCCTTGGCCAAGCACCTGACACCTAGTCTGATGGTTCCCAGCCGTAGTCCTGGAGGAATTTTGCCTCACAAAGTGCCAGATCTTTCTTGCTCTAAACACAATCACTTCGACTCAGGAACAGTTTGTGACCTAGCTGATTATTTGGATAAGATAGGACAGGGCAGGCTCCTCTAGGAGCAGGATTGGGAGCCATTAGACCAGGGGCCCTCAATCTTGGTCCTTGAGATCTACCACCCTGTAGAGTTTAGCTCCAACCCTAATTTAATATACATGATCCAGGTAATGGAGGCCTTCAGGAGAATCTGACAATTAGAGCCAGGTGTGTTGGATCTGAGGTCTCCAGGGTGGTAGATGTCCAGGACCAGGATTGAGCACTCCTGCACTAGACTCTTTTATGATGGCTATTTGGAAAGAGTTATTTGTCAAGACAAATGTTCACATTCCCACGCAAGGCTAAATGAGCCAACTCACCTTTGGTGCAGCTTCTATTTCATCCACCTGGTTTCTGTTCATTATGCCCTTGACCACACCCTCCACCTGGGCATTGAACTTCATGAAGAGCACATAGGAAGAGTAGGCTGTTAGGAGGGCAATGCTCTCCACATAGGTGATGTAGTTATCCAGGAAAAAGACGATGAGCATTATGAGGTCCATGATGTAGAAGGACACGTCCCTGAAGAGGGGCCACCACGTGAGATTCAGAATTTCACGCGAGAACAAGGCGCACATCCCAATCACAAACAGGATGTTGAAGACAGCCGAGCCCACAATTGTCCCGATACCCACGTTGCTGTGGGAGATGAACACGCCAATCACAGAGGTGAAGAGCTCTGGCGCGGAGCCTCCAGCGGCCATGAAGGTGGCACCAGCCACATCGTCTGAAATCTCAAGCTTCTCGGTGATGACAGTGAGCCCAGGAACAAAGAACTCATCACAAACAATGGCTAGTGCGATGAACATGTAGAGCATGCCGAACATATGCAGAACCACGGCCCCCTGCCGCCTCTCCTCCAGGCTGAACAGGTCCTCAGGATAGTCTCCTTGACCCTCCATCCCAGATGCCATTGCAACTGGTACATCCACGGAAATATTATGTTCCCCATCAGTGGAGCGCAGAGTTCTGTGGGACAGTGGCTGTCCAAACAGAGACATGGCCGTTCCTTTGAAGGCACTCCAAGACAGGAGCAGAGCAAGGGCGCAGAAGCTGAGGACGAAGCCCAGGATCCGTGAAGGACGCAGCTTCCTCCTCACATGCTGCCTCAGCTGCCGCTTGTTACTCGGCAACGCAGAGGCGAGCTCTGGCCCCAGCTCCACGCAAGAGAACATGGGAACCATGGTTGACGAGCGGCGGTCCAGTGTAGTCCCTTAGATCTATGGAGTGCCAGACATGACCCCGCCCACACTTAAACCTAATTGAAAGGATGGACTCCCTGATTCCACGAAGGGTCGAGATCCTCTAATGGTTTCCTCATAATAATACCTGAAAACAGGAAAAGAGGGGGAAGGGTATTAGTTCACATTTTGATGAAAATAAACTCACTGACCACTTTGTAATCCATCATTTTATGCAAATGAACTAAGCAAAAGTCTCTATGATAAATATTTCCAATTCAACCTTGTTAATGTTACCTATGGCACATGTGTCCACCACTTCATGCTGTTTGCTCTCGGTCTAATCTGTGAAAGTCAGGTGAACAGACAGGCTGTCAGTCACCTTACTGTAACCTATTAACTTTGAGTGTCCATGTGAGGGAAGGCCATGTGGCTTAATACAGCACTGCTGGCCTCTGCCTAATCTCCAGTCATCTGCTCATCTCGACAACTTTCAGCACTGAAATATTTATGTTTATGGTCATACGTTTTTGACTCATTCAATTCTAAGCGAACTGTCGGCAGGTCCAGACTTCCATTCCTTACCATAACTATGTAATTTTATATAAGTATTAGTAATTACACTGCAAACACTGAGCATATTATAGAAATTCTTGCATAATTTATTGTAGTTAGTGGGCGATAACACTTAAGATAAATAACTGTAGATCCATGCCTACCAACCCTTCTTCTGGAGATTTATCTACTGTCCTGCAGGTTTTTTTTCCAAGCCATATCTCAAACACTTGGTCCATCTACTTAAGGTGTTCTGAAGACAGTCAGATGACCCAGGTGTGGTGGATGAGGGTAGGAACTCTGCAGTAAGTTCAGGTAGATCTCCAGGAGCAGGGACAGTGGCCACTGCCGTACATGAACATGAACGGATTGCTTTGCCACCATTATTTAAAGAGTCAGAGTTACGTTACGAGTAAGAGTAGTCTTGACTCTAGACTTCTTTATGGTTCTAGCGGTGTCACTTGACCTCATACTGGCACAAAACTGACACCACCAGGTACTTAGTACTGGTCTACCCAATGTTACACTAATGCAATATGACAAAATAACCAGTATAGTTTGTTTCTATGGTACACTCTTAAAAAAAGATGGTTCTTCAAGGGTTTTAGTAAAGACGATGGTTCTATATGGAACTGTGAACACTCACAGAACCTTTTGAATGCTTCAGTTGTTCTCTGAATGGTAAAAAGTTTCTGCAGATTGATGGCAAATGTGTTGTATATAAAGTGCTTCTGTTATTGTTATGATGTCAAGCTTCTGACAATAGAAGAACCCTTTTTGGTGCTATATGATGGTTCTTTGAGTGTTCATGGTTCTACATAGAACTGTTGTCTTTCCTAAAAGCCCTTGAAGAACAATCTTTTTTAAAAGAGTGTAAAAAAAGCTCTTGGTGCATTGTTGAACTGTCCCATAGACATTCCATACGTATCAAGAACTCAGGAACATGTTACTTAAGAGGTCAGACTTAATATGAGGTTACAGTAAGAAATGTGTTCACAACAAACTCCCTGGTGCTGGATTAACATCTACAGTGTGCAGTTCACACTAGAGATTTAAGCATGATGTGGGAAACCTCACCTCAGTAATCACACATCAGAGCATTTATTAGGTATGACTTTCTTATAGTGCACATGTTTGTGTTTTCCCATGAAAACACACCCACTTTAACACAAGAAGGGCTTCTAAATTTGTGGATTAGTTAGATCAGATGTTTTGGAAGCAGGGCAAACGCCAATATGTACAGGGCAGGGGGTCCTCCTGGGGGATCAGGGTTGGGATTCACTGCATTAGACCATGGCGGGGCTGCCCTATATCACCACTGACATTAATAAGACTGTGAACCTGAAGTTTTACAGGCTTCACACAATAAATCAACTTAAACCCAGTTCAGCAACTTGAGGATTTCCTCCATTATACAACAGTTTTCCATTCTTATGTGATACGGCTATCATGGCAACATCATGCAAGTTATGAATTATCAATTATTTAAAACTTTACAAGTACTTTACTGTAACCTATTAACTTTGAGTGTCCATGTGAAGGAGGGCCATGTGGCTTAATACAGCACTGCTGGCTTCTGCCTAATCTCCAGTCATCTGCTCATCTCGACAACTTTCAGCACTGAAATACTTGGTCATATGTTTTTGACTCTTTCAATTCTAAGCGAACTGTCGGCAGGTCCAGACTTCCATTCCTCACCATAACTATGTAATTTTATATAAGTATTAGTGATTACACTGCAAACACTGAGCATATTATAGAAATTCTTGTAGAATTTATTGTAGTTAGTGGGTGATAACACTTAAGATAAATAACTGATCCTAGGTTCTTCACACCAAAATTGGTTCTTCTATGGCCTCTCTGATGACTTGATTTCACAAATCTTGACAGAATTTTGGATTCACAAAAGAGGTGAGGTGAGCTCTTCTTTACCTCCTAAATCAATGGTAAAAGCCCACTACTCTAACCTGCAGTCAGCCAACACATTTTCCTAAATTCTCTTAAATTTGCACCATTGGAGTCAGATCGTTAGATTTGCTCCAAAGCATTTGCACCAAATATTAGCAAAGCATCATAATACTCCTGTGGGGTCATTTATTTCTGAACACTCTAACCGGAGCCCTCCTTTTGTAATTGAACACGCCCGGTCCAGATAATTACTTGATTATCTGGGTCAGGTGTGTTGGAGTTGGCTTGGAACCCAGTTGGGCAGGAAGGTATGTTACGTGTCGAATGTTTTGAGACACCTAGCCCTGTTTTCACTGTTAGTTTGCACTAATTTTATCACGTTAAATAAAAAGCTGTTTCAATCTGGTCTTCTTTGCAAAGCTTGCAGGAACATCTGCCAAAAGCCCCACCCTGGGAATAATGGCGTGCATGTTATCCCCTTGATGTGATGTCAGCACTCTTCAGCACTTAAACCCTTTCAGGTGTTTAAACCACCTTTGGGCCAAAAGAGCTTCAGTATAAGCTTTTAACAATAATTTGAAAAAGGAAACTGTCAAATTTTTATCTTTATCTATTTAAAACCTGCTCTTCATACAGAGGAAGATACGTTGATGGACTTTGACGCTGAGGATGTATAAACACAAAGCACCAGCCCAGAGCTGCTATATACTAACTGAGGCTTTTTCTTACTTCATTGAAAAGTAACACTGAAAATCATTACTGTGAAATTTTGGAGACAGTGATGGTGACCACTGTGTTAGAAAGAGCAAAACCGCACACAGTGTCCATCTGTCGGCCTAACGATTTAATCCGATCAATAAGCTGCTGATATCCTGACTTTCCCTGCAGCTTCCTGGACCTCATTTACAGCACTTTACTTTCACTCTGTCTTATGTGAACAACTATAATGAGAGTATTTATATGTATATAAATACATGGAGCAATGAAGTATTCAGATCTTAGATATTTCAAGGATTATGTTATAATCCATTCAAACGCAAGGCATTAATAGAGATACACTCTTAAAAAGATGGTTCCTCAAGGGTTCCACATAGAAGCATGAACATTCAAAGAACCCTTTGCATACTTGAAGGCTTCTTCGCATCATGAAATGGCTCTTCCGATTGATGGAGACTGTACTCAGGATGGTTCTATTAGGAAACGTTTTAAAACGGGTTCTATATAGCACCAAAAAGGGTTCTTCTACTGCATCCAAGCTTGATGTTGTAACAACAGCAGAACGCTTTTTGGTGCTATGTTGAACCCTGTTCAAACGCAACACATTTTCCATCAATCTGAAGAGCTCTTTCACGATACAAAGAACCCTTTAATCATACAAAGGGTTCTTTGAGCGATCATGCTTCTGTAGAGAACCATTTTCTTTACTAAAGAACCTTGAAGAACCATCTTTTTTACGAGTGTAGTAATAAGCTAAATGCGTATAAAGTCATCTTTTGTAGGGCTCTTTCTGTTGGGAGGTGTCTGCCCCAAACCTCTTATTAAGTTTCATTTTAAAATTGAAAAAAAAAGCTGTCCCACATTTTCACATCACTACCGAAACAGAGAGTTTTAGTCAGTAGGCGGAGCCTTACTTTAGCCACGCCCTTGCATTTTAGAGCAGGAAGTTTGACTGCCCTGTCCCTCATGGCCACATGGTGAGCAGTTAGATCCCATTGGTTCTACGTAAACGTGTCCCAAATTATGGAAATCAGTTTGGAACAATTTTTCTGCAGTCAAGTACTTTTTTTATTTTAATGAAAATTATGATGGTCTAATGTGTGAACAGCTGTTCAAAGCTGTGTCCGTTAGTCATGTACTGGCTAACATTTTTGAGCTCAAAATGAGCTAAACAGTCACTACTGAAGCATCTTGTAAAGTTTCAATCATGTTATGATTGTTTCGGTAGTGATGTGATTGTTTCGGTGGTGACAAAATGGAATGTTGAATCATTTCTTTTAATACGATAAACATAATTAAGGTACAGAGTCACTCAAAGCAAAAAAAAATTAAGTCTAAAGTCCAAGATCAGTTAAAAGTCCCAAATGTGTTTTCAGTTCTGACTTCATGCATAGTGTCCACAAGTTGCTGTCGCGTGCAAAAGTTTGTGCACCCCTGGTCACATTCCATGTATGTCTTGAATTTCTAAGTGAGAATAAGTTTCTCTACAGAAAACACACTTCTGCACATTTTAGCACACAATTACTGTTTAGTTGCTGAATTTAACATTAAATACAACACAAAATGTTGCTTGTTTAAATGTTACAGTACATTTTATATTTTAAGTTTTTCTAGTAAGTTAATCTCGGCAGTTAAATCGTGCACTAACGCATATATTAGTGTATTACTCCTCTTGTATGTTATGGCCTATATTAGGAATAGACAGTTCTAGTGTTAAGTGCTTTTCTTCTGATCTGCACCTCATTCCTTTACCTTAGAACTTGAAAGGGGGAATGAAGAAACGGAAGGACATGGAGATAGTTAAATGATTGTGGAACTAGTAA